GCGCCGGCCTCAGTAGCTGTGACCACTTGCGTCCCGCGCCACCCAGTACAGCGCTTCGTGGCCACATAGGGAGCTCCACCAAAGGCCCCAGTGGCGGTGACCACGTGCGTCCCGCGCCGCCCAGTACGGCGTTTCGTGGCCCCACAGAGAGTTCCACCGAAGGCCCCAGTGGGTGTGACCACATGCGTCCCGCGCCACCCAGTACGGCGCTTCGTGGCCCCAAGGGAGCTCCACCGAAAGCCCCAGTGGCTGTGACCACATGCGTCCGGCGCCACCCAGTACGGCGTTTCGTGGCCCCGTAGGGAGCTCCACCGAGGGCCCCAGTGGCTGTGACCACATGCGTCCCGCACACCCAGTACGGTGTTTCGTGGTTCCACAGGGAGCTCCACTGAAGGCCCCATCAGCTGGTGTGACCACATGCGTCCCACGCAACCTGGGACGGCGCTTCGTGGTCTCACAGGGTACTCCAACGAAAGCCCCGATGGCTGTGATCACATGCGTCCCGCGCCACAGTACGGCGCTTCGTGGCCCCACAGGGAGCTCCACCGAAGGCCCCAGCGGCTGTGATCACATACGTCGGCTCGACCGAAGGCCCCAATGGCGACGCTCGCATGTGTCCCCCCCTCCCATTGTGGCGTACACCTCACGCGCTTCGTGGCCCCATTGGCACATTTGTAGCTCCACCTAAGGCCCCAGTGGCAGGGTTCACATGGCGGCCCCGCTCCATTTCGGCACACCCCTCACACGTTTCGTGGCCCCATATGAGCGCCACGGAAGGCCCCAATGGCAGCGCCCGCATGCGTCCCCGCCCCATTTCGGCACGCCTTGCACGCTTCGTGGCCCCAGGAGGATATCCACCGAAGGTGATACCCACAACGGCGATGCTCACAACCGCATCTGGTTGGACCCTTCGCCAGGATAAGTTGATTGACTCCGCGTGGCGAGCCGCTATGGGTGGTCCTTCAGCAAGGTGTCGGCGTCGCCGTCACTGTGTTTCCTCACGCGTGCGCAGCAGATTTCCGAAGGTGGTTGCTCGCCATCGAGTTCCGGCTCCCTCTTTTTCGTCCTCGTCCTAGGCTGGGTGCTCGCCAGCGCCCCAGGGTGGATGCTAGCCACCGCGTGCTCTGCCGCCTCCGCAGTGAAGACGAAGGTTTTTTGTGTTTGGGCGCAGGAGGGCGAGAAAGAAGAGGGGGAGGAAGGAGGATCAGAAAAAGGGAGAGGAGAAGGAGGAGGACGATGAGGAGGAGGAGGATGACGACGAGGGAGCCTCTACACAGTCAACGTTTATGCTTTTCTCTGTATTCTTTGGCCGCGCAGTGCCACGGGACGAACGAACGATGGTGGAAGGCGGAACGCCGCCCCAAATCTAGAAACACAACCCTCAATGCGAAAATGTTCGAGCTTGTGTCATTCTCCTTCCACCATCATTGTACGCCGCCGTACAGGGAATTGTTGAGTATCCCACCGCAAATTAATAATGTTGCGTTACAAACAATACGGTTGTATGCCGCCACAACAAAAATCCTGCTCTACTTCGCCGCAAAAGGGATCCATTGTATCCTGCAACGCCAGGAATCCTTTTTGCGTTCTGCCGGAAAAAAGGAATAGTTATGTCTTCTGCCACACAAGGGATGCTATCGAAATTTGTTGACCCAGTGAAATACATACGTTTGCCACTTCATGATTGGGTGCGGCGCCTTGCCCCCGATACTCAGGAATCGCAGTCCCGCTGGGGGTTTTCTGACGATTTACTTGGGATTCGTGCTATCGTTCGAAACGTCCTTGCGATTCATGTTCGATTGGCGCCTCAGCGACCCGCCCGCTCGACTCGGCCGCTTGGGCCCGCCTTACCGACCCGCCCGTCAGGGTCCGCCCGACCCGCCCGTCTAGTTCTGCCGCTTGTATCCTTGTTCGTAGTCCTCCTGCAAATCTCTCTTGTGTTCCATCGTTCTCCCTCCCCCTTGTCTCTTTCCTCCTGCCTCCCTTTCCCTGTTCGTGGCTGCGCCGACTACGCGCTGCAAACAGGGAAGATGTCCCACCTAGGGGGGTACGATCGAAGACGGAGAAAGCGGGTGTCGAGGGTTTGGGATATACGTGTTGAATGGCACGCGAGATCAAAGCGAACAGTTTGAAAATGATGATTGTTGTTGTCGGATTCTCAGTTCCAAAGAGTAAGTATTGTTGATCCCCCAGGTGCCGATGGCGTTTTTCAGTTAAAGTGCTCCTCCCTCCGAGGGTTTGCAATTTTTGTACAAGGGACAGACTTGCGCCTCATATTGGTTTGTTGGCCACTTGTTTATCAAAACAACAGCTCCCCCATGATACTTCCCCCCCGTTTATTCAGTAGTCGCGCCCTCGCGCGGGACTTCCTCGGAATGCATGCCAGAGTCGCGCTGTCGCGTAGCACTTCCTCGCAGTATGTGCAAACGCCGCGCCCTCGACACTCAGCAATCACGCTCTCGCTTTGGTTTTTCTCACGATTGACTTGGGAATCGCGCTATCGCTCAAGACTTCCTTTCGATTCATGCAGGACTCACTCTTCAGCAGCCCGCTGGCTCGACCTGGCCGCCTTGGGCCCGCTTTCCCGTCCAGCCCGTTAGGGTCTACCCGCCTGATCTGCACGTCTGGTTCTGCCAAGTGTTTTTATTATCCTAGCCCCCCTCCTGCTAATTTCTCTCGGTTTCCATTCTTCTGCCTTCCCCGTGCCTCTTCCTTCCATCCGTCCTGTCTTCCCCTGTTTTAGGGGCTGCGCCAAATACATGTGGCAGGTAAGGAGGATATTCCCCAAGGGGGTACGATCGAAAAGAAGAGGGCGGGTATCGAGGGTTTGGGATTCACGTGTTGAATTATACTCGAGCGTATAAGAGCGAGCAGTGTGAAATTGCTTCTTGTTCATGGTTGGGTGATGCTGAGGAGGAGGACGATGATGATGATGATGATGATGATGCTGGTGATGGCGATGGCGATGCTGCTGCTGGTGGTGACGATGATGATGATGATGATGATGATGATGATGATGATGATGATGACGACGGCGATGCTGATGTCTATGATGATGTTCTAGGCTTACGCCACATCCGCCGAACCCTATATGAACTATTGCGCCTCCAGGACTGCATTTCACTAAGCCTGTCCGAATCATGACACGGCGCTCGACATCGTTCCTGTTGCTTCGTTGCTGTTACCGTACCCCTTGGTGCTCTGTTGTGACCTCTTGGAAGCATCTTGGCCTGTCTGCAGGCCATATCCGGCCGCCTCGAGGCATCTTCGGCCAAGTTTTGGGGCCTCTTGGGGGCTTCGTGGAGGCTTCTAGGAGGCCTCTGAGGTTCTCTTGGGGGTCCCTCAGGGCCTCTTGGGGTGTTCTTGGGGCAGGCTTGGGGCGTCTTGGGGCCGAAGGCTCGAAAAGGTGCCCGCTGGACTCCGTCTTTGAGCCGTCTGGGGGCCCTCTTGGGTTGTCTTGGGGGCTTCGTGGGCTGTTGTTGGACCCTCTTCGACCCTTCTTGGGGGCCCCTTTGGCCGTATGGGGGCGATATTGAAGATTTCTTTGCCCGTCTGGGACGTTGTAAAAACCGAATAGGCGCGCATGCGAAAAATGCTTGATTCTCGAACGGAATGGGATGATTTTTGTTTCTTGGGACCCTCTTGGGTCGCATCTTGGGGGCCCTTTGGGCGTCTTGGCAGCTTCGGAGGCCGCCTGGAGGCCACTGTGGGCGTCCAGGGGCGATAATTCGGCGAATCGTCGCCCCCTGGGACCGTCTGGGGAGCGTTTTGGTGCCTTCTTGGCCAGTTTTGGAGCCCTCCGCTCCCTTGTGGCGCGTTCGGTCCGGGGCCGGGCTCGGCCAGGGGGGGGTCAAATTGCCGGTTTGGGGTCCCTGGGGGGGGATTATGGGGGGGATAATCTCACACGCCTTGAGGCCCACAGTGACGAATGTCTAGGATGATTTTGATGATTATGATGGTTACGATGATGATGGTGACGACGACGATGAGAATGGTGGTGGTTATGGTAATGATGATGATGATGATGATGATGATGATGATGATGATGATGATGATGATGATGATGATGATGGTGATGGTGATGGTGATGGTGATGGTGATGGTGATGATGATGATGAGGAGGAGGATGATGATGATGATGCGAGTGGTGATGATAATGATGATGGTGATACCGATGATACTGATGATACTGATGATGATGGTGGTGGTGGTGGTGGTAGTAGTGGTGATGATGATTATTCCCTACCTAGGCTCTGCCTAGAAGGGTTCTTACTCTCTGGGCTTAAAGGGGCCGGGCAGTGGAAAGCGCCCCGGGCGGTTCCCCCAGTATCCGCCCCGCGGTTCCCCCAGGTACGTCCCCTTAGCTTAGCGTTGCTTATATCATCTTAGCTTAGCTTATTTCATCTTAGCTTAGCTTAGCTTCATCTTAGCTGAGGTTCATCTTAGCTTAGCTTACCTTCATCTTAGCTTCGCTGAGCTTTAGCATAGCATAGCACAGCATAGCATAGCATAGCGTAGCATAGCATAGCGCAGCATAGCATAGCATAGCATAGCCCAGCATCTCATAGCATAGCGCAGCATAACATAGCATATCGTAGCATAGCATAGCGCAGCACAGCACAACACAGCATAGCACAGCGCAGCATAGCATAGCAGAGCAGAGCATAGCATAACATAGCATAGCATAGCATAGCATAGCGCAGCTTAGCATAGCACAGCGCATCATGACATAGCATACATATCATTTCATTTCATGCCATATCATAAGATAGCATAGCGCAGCATAGCATAGCATAGCATAGCATAGCATAGCATATCATCGCATAGCATAGCATAGCATAGCATAGCGCAGCATAGCATAGCATAGCATAGCAACTAATGCTGCTTTCCTAGGGGCTCCAACTTCTAGGTAGGGTCGCACTGGGGTAATGATGAAAGGTTGGAGGGGTAGGAAGGAGAATGCGAAAAGGACGAGGAAGAAGAAGAGGATTCTGGCTCAGGATGCCTCCAGCACGAAGGGCTTGAAGGCCGACGCCCAGGCGTTCCAGCCGAGATCCCACGGCGGCAGCGACCTTGAGCGTTGGGCCGCCAAGGCGAGCGCCTCGCGGCGTGCCGGGCTCAAGGCCCCAGCGGTCTTGATGCATTTGCTCTCTCCCTGCATCTCCTGTGGCTACTGTAACTCTCCCTCTCCTCCTCATTCCTCGTCCCTCCTCCATTTCTTGTTCCTTTTCCTCCTTCTCCTCCTCCTCGTCTCTCGTCTCTGGTCCCGTAATTGGCTGAGGGGGCGCGAACAGGCCTTACAGTCAACCCACATGATAAGGATGCATACTTTTTGCAAGGTTGCCCTTGCATCCTTGCCCTTTCGGCCCATCCCTGGCAACTTTCGCTGACCAGCCCATCAGGGTACCCTGGCATCTTTCGGTTGCGCGGCGCGACCCCCTTTGGGGGCCAAGGCTAACGGATGCGCGATGAGCAGGGCACCCGTGGCCATCTTCGGGCCCAGATTGGCTTTCCTTACATTCATTGGGGCCGCGGCACCAAGGATGCGCGACGCGCTGGGTGCTTGTGTTCATCCCTGAGCGCGTCTTCAATGCCCTTCACTCACGGGTGGGCGCGGCCCCGAGGATTCTGGGTGGGCAGGGCACCCTTGGCCATCCTCCCCCCTTCTTTGCCGTGTTTTCGCTTATGCGGGGCTGCGGCCCCGAGCATGCGCGACGGGCAAGGCGCGTTTGCTCATCCTTGAGCGCGTCTTCCTTTCTCCCCCACCCGCGGGCGGGCGCGGCCCTGAGGATGCTGAATGGGCAAGGCGCCCTTGGCCATCCTCCGCTACTCGTTGCCGTCTCAATGCTCCAACTACTACGGCTACGACAACGATTGTCACTGTTATTATTACTGTTACTACTGCTCCTACTCCTTCTCCTCCGACTCCTAGTGCTACGACTACTACCACTACTACTACTACTACTACTACTACTACTATTACTACTACTACTACTACTACTACTACTGCTGCTGCTGCTACTACTACTACTAATACTACTACTATTACTACTACTACTACTGCTACTACTACTTCTACAACTACTACTACTACTACTACCACTACTACTACTACTACTACTACTACTACTACTACTACTACGACTACGACTACGACATACTACGACTACTACTACTACTACTACTACTACTACTACTAGTAGTACTGGTACTACTACTACTACTACTACTACTACTACTACTACCACTACTACTACTACTACTACTACTACTACTACTACTACTACTACTACTACCACTACTACTGCGACTACTACTACTACTACCACTACTACGGCTACGACTACTTTTATTATTACTATTACTACTACGACTATTACCGCTATGGCAACTACGACGACTACGACTCCTACGACGACTACTACGACAACTATAAGTACCATTGCGATCATTACTACCAGCACCACTACAGCTGCTACTACGACTGCTACAGCGTCTAGTCGTATGACTGTTAGCATTACTACTGTTCTTGTCATCTTACTACTACTACTACTATTACTACAACTTCTACTACCACTATGACTACTACTACTACTACTACTCCTACTACTACCATTATTATTATTTTTACTACTACTACTACTACTACGACTGCTATCAATAGTATTCCTATTCTTCTTCTTATTATTACTACTACTACTACTAAGGCACGACTACTACTACCAGCATTACTAACACCATTACTACTACCATTACTACTACTACTTCTACTACTACTACTACTACTACTACTACTACTACTACTGTTATGACAACTACTACTTGTATTGCTTCTACTTCCACTGCTACTCTTTCTTCTTCGACTACTACGACGGCGACTACTACTGCTGCTACTACTACTACGTACTAATAGTACTGTTATCACTACTACTACTACTGCTACTACTACTTCTACCACGACTACTACAACCACTCCCACGACCATTTTTTCTACGACTATTCGTACGACTACTACTTCCAGTTTTGCTATTACCACTACCGCTACTGCTACTACTACTACTACTACTACTACTACGACTACTCCATCAACATCATTATTACTACTACTACTACTACTACTACTGCTACTGCTACTACTACTACTTCTAATACCTACTATGATTACTACTACTACTACTACTATCACTACTACTACTACTGCTACTACTACTACTACTACGACTACTACTACCACTACTGCGACGACTACTACTACTACTACTACTACTAATACTACGACTACTACTATTACTACCACTAGTAGAACTACGACCACTACTACTACTACTATTATTATTTCTTATATTACTATTACTACTACCACTACCACTATTATTACTACTAGTACTACTACTACCACTACTACTACTACTGCTGCTACTAAACTTCGTTTCTTGGCAGAGGAGCACGATCTCCGGCAACTTTGGGATTCAATGCTGATGTTGCGTTGGTGTCGCTACTGCTCTGAATGGGCTCCACCAGCATGACTTCAACTATCCGGTAAGCTGATATGAGTGATATGAACAAGCGCAAGAACTTCCTCTTACGCAAACAAAGGGTCGGCCCGCGCACCAGCTGCGGTACAATATAGCGCAGCAGCGGGAAGCGGCAACGGCGGCACAGAGACGGCAGGAGGAGAGGTTAAACAACTTCCCGCGCGGCGGGATGTGTAGGCCCAAGGTTCCAGCCCCCCTCGGAGCACCTCGGCTTCCTGGCACTCCCAGGCACTTTGCCCCCCCGGCGCCAAACACGGATTTTTGTTCACGGCGCCGACGGCTGGGTGCCGATATTGCCGATGGAGTTCCTTTGAGGCAGGCCGAAAAGGACCGACGAATCCTGCAAATAAAACGCGCGGCGTCAAAAGTGAACGTTGCTGTTCGGGTAACTTTTGTCCCGTTTTTCTTTGAACGACCCCGGCTGAGCCAGTATCGAATTTCGGTTCTCCTCCATCCGCAACCTAAATTAGCATTGTAGTCATTTGCGTTCCAGTACTGCCATGTTTGTTCAGCAACATTGCACACATAAAGGCACCCATTCTTGGCGGAGTAGTGCCTCCAGGTGTCGTAGCCGCCCGCTGCAGGAAGGTTATGATGTCCGCGGGCCTCGAGGACTGTACGGCGCTGTGGGCCAGAAGGGCCATCAGTAGACGACGAGCGTGCCCGACTCTGTGTCCACGCTTCATCACCCTCTCCAGTGGGGTAGTCAGCCCAGCTCCTCGGCCTTGTCGCGGCAGAGTTGGCGGAAAAGGGCGTCGCGCCAATGGGCGCACAGGACTGGCGGTTCCGGCTCCTCGGCGCGTTCGGCGGCGTCATCAGCGCAGCGCGCCGCGGAGGCTGCCCAGGCGACGAAGCACGGAGGCGGCGGCCATGACAGGCGGCGGATGGTTTGGCAGGCAACAGCATAGCAGGGGGTCGGGGAGCAGTCGACTGGTCACCGACTGTGTCGGTGGCTTTACCAGCAGTGCGGCCAGTGCCCATAGCGTCCCCTGTCCCGGTATATGCGACACCGCTGGCTGAGCTGGTAGCATCTTCTCCAGCATCGGCAGCCCTCTGACTTGGGTTCGCATGGTCCCCAACGATTGTAGCTGCCGGTTTGGCGGCACCGATGCCAGTCAACTCCTGCGCTTGAAGTTCAATATGTGATTGTACCTCAATGACAGCAGCAGCGACCTGCATGTCTAAGTCTGTCTGTGCCAGGACACGGGCTGAGCCGATGTCGGATTCACCGTGTAGCTCGAAAGCCCACACAATTCCGATAGGTGCCGTGGCGGCACATTGGCCATATTTGTTGACCAATTGTTCCAAACATTCTGCGTGGTTGCCATATGTCGTCTTCTGTTATTCACCATGGCTCACAAACTCGATGATCCAGTTTTGAATCGAGCGTGGTTTGTTTCGTATTTGGGATTCAAGGTTTAACCCCAAATCCTTCATGTACAGCTCTACCAAGTCTAAGCCTCTGGCCGCCTCTCTTATCTTTGCGTCTAAGCTGCACGCATCTCTAATATTCTGCCTGAGGTAGTCAGTGTTCTTCGATTGATGTGGTCCAGTCGGCACCTCCAAAGAGTCCACGGACTCATCTGGGAAAGCAACATACCGATTGTCAGCAATGAAGTTCGCGATGCATTTACTCCCGGGTTGTTTTCATTATCCAAAACGATATGATCTCAAAGAGTGGGCGATCGTTTTGTCCGGAAAATCGTTCACGGCCTGTCCCAGTAGCTGTAAGAAAACAGCCTCGTCTGCCTCGTTTGCGCGCAACCGCTTTTACAACGTGTGCGGAGGTCCGAGCAGTAATCGCTGTGGTGTGATCGTCGGATGAGTCCACTGGGTCTTGCATGAGAGTCTTCACCTGCGCATTCCCCGAGAATTTTCTCCGAGTGGTTTACCTTCGTTGGATGTCGTCTCCGTGCGCGCGAGATTGAACGGAAATCGTTTACGATAATCATTTTCTCCGCTGTACGTTTTAACGGATTCCGCAGCTGCGGGGCATTGAACAATCATTGGGTCGGGCACCATCGTGGGTACGTCTCCAACAACGTGAAATGTTGGGTGATTGGGGCCAAGTTCGGTTAAAAGTTGTTTTCTCCTTTTTATCGACCTCGATGTGCGATGTGGCCCATCCCGGAAATATCATGTTCGCGACTGGGAGTTCGAACCAATCTGCGGGCCGTCCGCTGTTGAAGGCTGAGCTTTGCCCGCGTCGTTTTCCGGGCCCACCCGCGTGAATTCGCTCGCCAGCCACGAAGCAGCAGGGGGAGGAGTCCCATTTACACGATGTCCCATCCTTCATTGGGGGCAATATGTTCATCGTCAACTTCTGGCCAGACAAAGGCAATCGGCGGCGGGCATGACATCGGCGCGGCGGTCTGGCCAACGCCCTGCCAGAGGGCTGGCCACCGATAAGCAGGCCTCGTGCCGTCTTTCTTCCATTGGTTATATTATATTAACCTCTTCTTGAGGGGATCAAGAAACCAGAAGTGCGGCTCATGGCGAGTGGGAGGTTTACGTTCGCATTCACTGCCTTGCACGAAGTTAGTGCGGTATGTTATACCCGCCTTCGATATTAAGATCCTTTGTTCTTT